ATTCAGCTCACAGAGACAAGGTCCTGGGTTTGAATTGTGGTCTGGGCCAAAGGGTAAATAGCCTGAATTTCTAAAGGGCTTTATCAATTCCAAACACCCAGAAGGGTAAAGGTCTTTTTTTGTCTGTTATGACTGTTAGACTAAATAATTAAGTTGTTTCTATGCATGATTGTCCTGTGGGTCACCCCACTACTCCAGATAGGCATCTGCTCCCCTTCTACCCTGCATGGACAAGTCGGCATAGTCAATTGATAGTTAATTATTGTTTCTATTATGCAGAACTTACTTTTTTTGTAACATATTTATATATTTCTTACTTTATGAATGGAGTATTTGAACGAACAGCAGTAGCCAATGTTGTATATTTTTGTTTTCTGAAATCCGAATTATCTATATCATCTTAAATAATGCACCACTTTTATGGTTCAAAACATAATTTTGAATCCCCCCAGGCTGTTTTTAAACTTCACACCCAATCTCTGTTATTGTCTCCCATCCCTCTGATTCCTTCCCAAACAGAGACACCACTGGCCCATTCAGTTCACTTCCGAAAGAAAATAAAGGGCGGCACGGCCACCTCTCCCCAGAGGAGTATTTACTCTTCAACGCCCCTTTGAGTGTCTGATGGGACGGGGCTACATGAATGCTGAAAGGTAAACATGATTGGCGCCGGCTTTTGTGCTTCTCACAGAGAAATGAAAAAGAAAAGTGAGAGGAGCCTCCCTGGGAGTGCTGACACTCGGATGCAGGAAGCGTGTAGCCACTAACCCTCATAGGAAGTGGAAGGTGGCTGGGTTAACTATGTATTGACAAGGTGTATGGCAGGAGTGGGTTCATGATCAGGAAGGACCCGCATGCTGGAATTGGGAGCGTGGGAAGATGGAGCGGTGAGGAATAAAAAGTATGCTCAACACCTTGAAAAGAGACAAGAGCGAAGGGTCACCGTGGAAACATAGTTTGGAAACGTGCCCAAAAGAAGACATACAATGAGTGACAGATTGTGTCTGAATCACATGCCTGGAGCTGATTTGTCTCCTGTGGGGTACTTTTGCAGTTATTTCTGCCACAAATCGATAGTATGTTCTTTGGGAATATTTCAGTTGATTGATTGATTGATTGATTGATTGATTGATTGATTGATTTCACAGTGGAGAAATTTACTCGTTACATCAGCTCAAATAGTCAAAAGAGAAGAAGAAGGTGCCAAAGAAAGAAAAAGGTGCACAAAAAAGCTGTCATATGTGGACTCTATATACTGTTTATAACAAACAGTATATAGAGTCCACATATGACAGCTTTTTTTTCTTATAGCAGGATCATTATATAGGCTTACTGCAAAGGGTTATTATACGAGTATCTATATATATATATATATATAGTTATTGCACAGGTTATCAAATAGTAATTGCACATTATACATTGCACAAGTTACTGCTGTTGTATTATCGCATTGTAGAGTCTGGTTGCAGCAGAGATAAACATCAAAAGAGACATTTAGCCTCAAGATTAATTAGCAAAACCAGACATCATCAAATCCTTAATGCAACAGCTATTAAAACGTTTCATATATAGTATATAAGGGCATATATTATAAATTAAATTGTTTTTATTCAACAAACTACATATAAGGAAAAGAAACAAAGCGCATTGCAGTGGAGCATCTAGTCAAAAGTTGCTAAAGCATGATAAAGATGTGTTTAAAGTGTCAAACTCTGGCATCCATGTGAATCATAACAGTCAGTCATTATAAGAATTATCATATGATTCTTATAATGATTTGTCCAGTGAGGAGAAGAAAGTCAGCTATAGCTTAAAGGGGCTTCAAAAGAGATTCATAAGCAGGGATTTGAAAGCACTCTGTGATAAGCCTGGTCTCCCTGACTGGCTGCATATGACAAGAAAGTAATGAGTCCAAAAACCTATAAATTCTGGCAGCATTCAGAGACAAAGTTTTCTTGACCAGCATTTTTATTTTCACACGCATGGTTTGAGTTATCAGGTATTTTCCAACAATTCCATCACCAGGGTTATTTACTGCATATAAGCAAACGGTGGATTCTCAGTCTAAAACATGAAATTCATGCTTTCTACACATAATAATTCTTGGTTTGAATATTGAGAGTATAAATGTACTGCAGTTAATTTTTTAATTCAGTTCATACACTTCAAAAAATTATTTTAAGGGAAGTTAAAAAAAAACAATTTTTGTAGATCTTCATGGTTGTCTACAAAGAAAACATATGTCTTCTTTTTATTTAATAAGATATTTTAACTCATCTTGACTGATCTACCCATTACCAGGCTTGACAATGGTTTGGTTCAAAAAAAAAAAAAGAAAATAGGATGATTTTTCATTCTTTTAGGAATAGGGCCACTTAGATAACTTCTCAATTTAAGAAATTTATATTCAGAAGTTTTACGTTTTCTGGCCAAGCGAAGTGTATAAATAGAATCACTTTTCTTAGTCTCCTTTTATCATTAAAAATTGACCTTAGATGAGGTGAAGTGAGAAGTGAGGTCTGCTTTGAGTATTTTTAGACCTTCAGTAGTTTGATGCAATCATGGAGTAATTTTGGAAAGCTGGCCTCTCCTGGGAAATCTTCCCTTTTTCCACATTTTTTTATATGCATGTATGATTCTTACTGTTTTTTACTGAAGCAACAAATCTTTAAATATTACATATTTCAAGATCTTTGTATTTTATTTAAATTCTTCTCTTAGGGCATGATTTTTGACATAATTTATGGAAATATATGTCACCGCAGGTTTCAATTAGTTAATTTGATTCAGTTCAGACCAGAACAAAAAGATTGTCATTCACTGTAAGATTTTATGGGTTTCCAATTCTGGTGAAACACTGCTCCCCAGTGGTCATCCTTATGACCTACAACATAATGACTGAATATTAACTACAAAACAATCACAACTGAGATAACAATTGACCTATGTTGATCAAATCTTTTTGTATTACTTTTTAATTCCTATCATAAAATAAAATCTGTAAAAAGGTTTTTAATGTTTGTTTGTCCCCAAGTGTAAATATGATCAAATGTATTCCAAAAAAAGAAAGTTAAAAACAATCCACTGGATTTTGTTTTCAATTTAGAAGACGTTTCGCTTCCCATCCAGGAAGCTTTTTCAATTCAAAATGTCAGGAATAGCGTCGAGTTCGAGACTATTCCTGACATTTTGAATAACTGAGAATCTTCACCAACATGATCAAATGTATTTCTTTTAGTCAATCTGGGGGCTAAAATCTAAACCAAAATTTTATGTTAGACTTTAAAATTCCCCAATAGAACACAAAAGAAGACCTCAGATTTGTTTTGTAAAAAAATCAAACATGGTTTCTTAGTTCAGTTTGAACCAACTGACTAAATGAAACATCTTCCAGTTGTTAACTATGTTCAACAGTGTGTATCAACTCCATTGCAGAAACCAGCTACTTTTTGAAGTAATTACGACTCCTGACCAAAAACTAAAACATAACCCATAAAACGTTTTCTGAAGGAAAGGCCTGATTTTGATGCAAGTAGAGAATGTGCAGAGAACATAGCAGTAAGGTTTGGAACGAGATGATATGTCTATAATGAACTACAGGAGGCAGCATGGGGTGACGGGATCTGATATAGGCAGCCTGAGGCCCTTTAAAGAGGTGAGTAAGTACAAAGAATACCTCAGACTTATTCTGGTTCTATTTCAATGAAAAGGCAGCTTGAATAGTTGGGGGGATTGAAGTTAGAGTGGTCCAACTTAATCTAAGCCCTCTCTCTTTAGTTATGCTGCTATAGTCTTGTGATGCTGGAGAGCATACTAGACACTTTTTCTTATGATACTTCACTGCTGATTTTTAGCTGTGGCTGACATTAATTCTACTTTCTCTGTGGATGAAAAAAAATTGTCCAAAACTGATCAACCGAATAAGCAATGGCTGCCAATAACTACACAACCTTGTTTTTATTTCCCAAATTTTCACTATTTGCCCACACAATTGTCCAGCTATTTCTCTCTTGGATAAAGTCACCTAAAGCTACTATATACCCTTTAATTTTTCTTTACCAAAGAAAAAAAATCATTCACCTGAACATCAGTGTTTTTGCACATGGAACATCCTCACAGACCGCTTCGTTTTGAAGCGTAGGGCTGCTTAACAGTCAGGTTATGCTGGAGGCCTCTTCCTGTTAATATGGGAGTCTTTACTATGAACTTCCACTACATACATCCTCATATGAAGGTTTCTGTCAAAGTCATTTGATGCAATGAGTTTGAACTTCCTAGAGAGGAAAACCTTTTGATCATTCCACTACTGCATATGTGCTGATGGTAAAGTCGCTTGAGGCATTTGTTTAAAAAAACAGATCAATAAATATGCTTAAATGATTCAAATCAAATTGACATTTTAATTTTGGGTTCTTTTTCTTGTCAAAAGTATAATAACTATAAGTGAGAAAATTAATTACATTTATATTTCGGTGGACACAGATGTATTTTTTTACCATTATGTTTTTGTGCTGCGTTTAACAATGCATTTACATTTCATTCCATAGTTCACTAAAACAATTTCACACACACATCATCCTCAGATTTTTGTTTTTTGGTTAGGGTGAAGCAGCCTGGCCTTAGACACATGTCAAAAAGGAGGCTGTTGGTACAAAAATAAATAAGACATACTTCAGACAAACATGGTTGCTTCTTTCTCACAGTTTGCTACAGACTCTTAAGGCGGATCAACGTTGCATTATAGCTGTGAACCTGAACTCCTCCATGTGTCCTTCCACATTTCCAAACACAAATAAGTTGTACATGTCATATTTACATTTGCAGATGACAAAAAAATATCATTTGGAAAAGGACAAAAGATGGCAGCTGTGGTCATGTCTCTAGTGTCAGTCCATAGGTGTTGATAAATATGCGTTTTGGATTTCTTGTATCTTCCTGGACCAGTCTCTATTGGTCTTCCAGTCAGTGTTCCCATTTCCTAGCTGACTGCGCTGGATAGTTGAAGATGGTGGTGCCTGAAATCAGGCTGTTCGGGTGTTTCTCAGTCTGAGGGAGTCTCGTCACTCTTGGTTTCTACAGAGAGCTCCTGCATGGAATCTGCAGCCTCCTGAACGCTACTTTCCTCTGAAAAAACAAAAACAAAACAAAAACAAGAGTCAGTCAGTGCAGGATACAGTCAGCCAACAACATGCTGCCTCATATTTTAATAGATTGGTTAGAAAATAAAACCCTACAAATCCAATCTGACCTCAAAAGAACAAGAACAAAGCAGAATTTACACAGAAATTCAACAATTTGAAAAGACCTGAGCCTCATTGCTGCTTCGGTAGGGCTTAGCAGAAGAAGAAGCAGCTAGTTTCTACTTATTAACTGCTGTATTGAGTGATGACCTGTATTAAGGTTAAAACAGCTTGCTGACCAGGAACATTAAGGTATGTGTAACACAAGATCAAATAGAACAACAACACATTTCAAGGGAGGCAACGGTTGCTGCACATCTATCTACTCAAGGCCATATTTGAACTATTATAAATATTATGTCTATTGATCTGCAAAAGGGAGCAATTAACACTTAGAGGATAAAACCCAGCAGCTGATCTTCTCTAGAGGGCATCACAGTGAATTTGTCAAAGAAAAGAACATTTAAAGGGAAATTGCAAATAAGAAACTGGAGCTTAACCTCTAGACTCCACACCCCCAATCAGCCTTGCTTAGTGGCCCTAAGCAAAACTCAGTTTTGGGGCCCTCTATGGGTTCTATGCACAACTTCACTACTTTCTGAACTTAAGGCGGCTCTTTTATTTCCTGTCTTTTTCTATTGATGAACTGATTCATCCAGGTGTGTCTGGCCATGTTTACTGAGGTTAGGCACAACTGGAGGAATCAGAGAGGAAACAAAGAGCTTCCTTAAGTTCAGGAAATATTGGAGTTGTGCATATAGCCAAATTTCTGTCAATAATATCCATTGTTGCAATTACCTGTGTCAAAGTATCTCTATTAGTCTCCCTAAGATGAAATTCTTCTTGGACATAAACCATGTTATTCACTCACCTGAGTGAAGTTGCCCCCCCCCCACCCTCTTCAAATCAGACAAAATTAGTGTCAAACGTTTGTGCTACATTTGTGCAGCAAAAATTGTCGTTTGTGCTGCTTTGGCTTTGAAGATATTAATGAAAATGTAAAGGTCAAAAGGTCAACCAGCCCCCCCACATTCTTCAAATTAGACAAAATTGGTGTCAAACGTTTGTGCAGCAAAAATTTTCGTTTGTGCCGCTATCATTACTTTACAGTGTAAAATTATATAATCATAGGTTAGCAACTTATTATTTATATGAAATTCAGAGTTTCAGAATGAGCAAATGTTCACTGACCTTTGATTACTTCTACAAACAATTATTAATACCATTAAAATGATAGCAGTACAAAAATGTATATATTTTAAAATATGCAGTTTTGAATTTTTTATATATATTTATTTTAAATATTTTATATTTAAAATTAACTTTAAAATTTTATATTTTGTATGGTAAAATTTTCATTTGTACTGTTATCATTTTAATGAGAATAATAAATTTGTAGAGGTCATCAAAGGTCAGTTAACATCCATTTTTGCTGCACAAACATTTGACATTAATTTTGTCTGATTTGAAAAAGGTGGGGGGGGGCAACTTCACTCAGGTTATTCACCTCACTACTACAACCTAATCCCAACTCCTGCAGGGCTGTTTAGTCTGATATTTGTATGCATCATTTAGCGTTACTAAAAGTAATAAAATAAACTAGTGTGCAGATTATTTAGAGTAAAAGTGTCATGTGGTTTAAACTGTTTGGTTCCAACCACAATGGGATTTTAGAAAAATAACATGTAGTGCAGGAACAACAAAAAAATTAATTTAGGATAAATGGCAGGCAAAAGTCAAATAACTAATAATAAAAAAGTGCTTATCTTTGTTCTTTAAGCAAAAGTTTGTTTTAGAGAAGTTTCCACGGGTCCTTCCTCATCTGTGTGCCAATCTGGTTCCAAGAACCATCATTTTTTAACAATATAGTAATAGTAGTGTATTATTAGTAATCATTTCTACATGGTTAAAAATATATTGATGTAAAATGCATAATCTTATCATATCATTGTGTGTTTCATTACTATATTGAACAATATTTAGGCAGCAGAGACCAAAGTAAAGACTTGTGGGACAAAAGAACAAAGGCACAATGTTGGAAGGCTGATGTTTAGGTTTGACTTGCAGGCAAATGATCAGAGCACTTGCATTCCTTTATTTAACAACCATCTATGTGTCCTGAGATATATAAACATTAAAATGTCAGGATATTCTCAAAATGTATTCTAGGTTGCAGTTGGGTCGTCATCAGAATAGCAGGAACTGAAATACAACAGAAGAACTAAGAAACAGACTAAGAAAAAGTCGAGACCTCACATTAATATGCTGTGGTGGATGCGAAAGACGGCTGACCAGAAAACTGAAGCAACAATTTAAAGACAGTTAAACCAAATGTTGGGTGATGGGGGGTAGGCAGTTTGGCTTCATCTTTCTTAAACACAGCAGCAGACTGGAATCTGCTCTGCGCATCTGGACACTGAAGTATAGATGTAAATAATAAGGGTTGGAAGATCAGATGGGTTTTATTAAATCTCTAGATCTGATTTAGTTTTACAAACCAAAATACACAACCTATAAACTATATGAACACATGATAAAGTTTAAATGTTTTTTGTTTTGGTTTTCTGGTTGCTGGATGAATCACCTTTACTCTGCTGCATCCTCAGTCTGGCCGCTTCAACCTCCTGCTTTTCTCGCTCCTCTTGGAGCTTCTTACAAACCTTCTTGTGGGTGAACCAATGCATTTTCTGGCACGCTTGGCCACAGTAGATAACCTGGATAATGGAAAAAAGAGCCAAGTGTCTGTATACAATAACCAAATGTCAAGATAAACTAAAAAAGCAAAGATATCATGACAGAGTTTAGCTACTAATTGTTCAGAATGACAGCAAATGACGGCCCAGAAATAAATACTTAATTTAAATGTCGTCACAATTTATTCCTGTAGTTTTGACACTCACCATTTTACAGATGGAGCATCTTTTCTCGGCTCCCTTTTCCCCACAGGTGGTACAGAACTCTGCATCCATGAAGCCAACCTGACCCGTTATAGCCTGAGTCAGCACTGACAGAGCTGTGGGGTCGTTTCCCTGACGTATCATCGAGAACAAGAAAACCGATCAGACCTGCTAAAGTTCAGTTGTCTGTTTTCCAAGTCACTGAGTTTAGTTTTTAGTTTAATCTACAAAATGCTCCTCTTCACTTCCAAATCCTGTGATTTGTGAGGGAGGGAAATGTTTGGAATGAATGCCTTCAATGTAAAACTTACAATGTCCACCGGAGCGATACTCCGCACTAGCTGCTGCAGCAGCGTGGCGTCGCAGTACGGGAACTTGCGTATACACTCGCGGATGAACTTTTCCTGAAAGACTGGGAAACCGTCGCTGTCCCGACCTTTCAGCAAACTGGAAAACACAAAAAAACAGAAATACGAAAAACGAGCTGAATAACAGGACAAGATTCAGAGTTAAAATAATCTTTGGGGAAGAAAACAAGCCTGAGATCCAGTTTCTAGGAACCACCATTTCTCTGAACCCAGCAATGCCCGCACACATCCACCCTGCTTTACACAAGCAAGTATTCCAACCTCTTTATGAGGCCGTCCAGCTTATCCTCACGGTCTTTCAGGAAGGAGGCACACTTCCCCAGCACGCAGCTGATGTAGTGCATCTTCATCGCCAGAACCTCGTTCATGTCCTGCTGCTTGATGCACTTCTCACAGATGAGCTCCATCACTCTTCTGCTTTTGTCCAGAGCCTCCACCTCTGCGAGCAACGGGTTTTCCTTCACCAGCATCACCAACTGGAACAAAAAAACCAACAACAAATTCCAGTTGTTGATTTACTTTTACACAGTTTAGACAGGAACAGTACTAATAAAATGCAGAGAATAAAGGGCAATAACTGATCCCTCATCTTCAGTTTAATCTTTTTTGTTTGGACTGTTTTAATTTAAACAATTAAACAGGTACACGGGGGAAGAAAATCAGATCAACAAACTTTTTAAGTACCGTAATTTTCGGATTATAAGCCGTACCTGAATATAAGCCGCAGAAGCTAAATTGCATGATTTGTACATATACAAGCCGCACCAGACTATAAGCCGCAGGTTTTTTATGTTTAATTACCATATGGTTTGTGCACAGAAAGGATTGTCGGGAAAGAGGCAACTGTTTGGGGAAGCTCCTATTTATTAACATTTCAACACAATTGAATTGAGACAAGATTACGTGCAGCGGTTCTATTTCCTTTGTTTACTGCCAAATTGACTGCCTTTTACTTAAAAGCTGCATCATATGCATTTCAATGCTTGTTTTCCATAATGCGGGTGTCACACAAACTGTCTTGCGCTCTCAATGTCCATCTTTCTCGAAGTCTGCTTCCGGAGGACGCCCGCATTCCCGCGCGCGCGACTACTTGTGTGTTGAAGCAAATGTGACGTCAACATGGTGGATGGTAAAATCCATAGATTTAGGTACTGTATTACCCTAGTGGCCGTTAGCTGTAAAAGTCCATAGATAAGCCGCAATGTTATATAAGCCGCAAGGTCGAAAAATGGGGAAAAAGTTGCGGCTTATAGTCCAAAAATTACGGTAGTTATAGACTAACTGTGCGATTAAATACATTAAATAAATAAAATTCTTTTATTTGTTTTTAATAATGAAATTTGTTGAGGGTTTGGCTATAAATCACAAAAAAGATTCAATAATACTTACTTTAATAAAAAAAGAATAAGCAAATAAGATAAAAAGTTGAACAGACTATTTTTAAAAGCTTTTTTTGTCCAATGTCATAAGACGTCATTGTTTAAGCTAGTCACTATAGATTACTATTACCTAAAGAAAAAACAATAGTGAGCTGGATGGTCTTTTGATTTCTTGGAATCATAGTTATATACATGAACATACGACTCGTTTGCTGATTTATGTAAGAGAAATCCTGTTTATTAAAAAATGATGTGATTTGAAACAGTCCAGGGGAAGCACAGTGAGGACAAACCAACTCTACACAGAAACCTTTTGCTTTCTTGATTCCAGTCATAGATATTTTCTTCAGCCTGTCTTTTTCCTCTCCTAGACATAGCTATGGGTTCATTAGACAATTACAGACTACTTGCAGATTTTTTTCTATTGCGTAAATATTTTCCTTCAGATGTTGCAATTCGTGCTGCGCAGTGGGTAGCACTGCTGCCTTGCAGCAAGAAATGTTCCGGGTTCAAGTCCTGGCCTGGGGTCTTTCTGCATGGAGTTTGCATGTTCTCCCTGAGCATTCGTGGGTTCTCTCAGGGTACTCCGTCTTCCTCCCACAGTCCAAAAACATGACTGTTAGGTTAATTGGCTTCTCTAAATTATCGTTAGGTGTGAGTGTGTGTGAATGGTTGTTTGTCCTGTTTGTCTCTGTGTTGCCCTGCAATGGACTGGTGATATTTTCAGGGAGAACCCCGCCTCTCCCCATAAACAGCTGGAGATAGGCACCAGCACCCCTCGCGACCCCACTTGGAATAAGTGTGACGAAAAATGGATGGATGGATGCTGTAATTCTCTCTGAGAATAAGATTTCAACTGTTTGGTTTCACAAAGCTTTTAAATAGTCTGTACTGTGACATCAGGACTGTGAAAAGACGTTAATTTTCTAAGTCTTACTTTCACAGGGTTCAGGTTGGTGCTCATGATGACCTTGTGCAGAGGTCCAGCCAGTTTGGGTGGCAGCTTTGGTTCCTTCTCCAAACCCTGTGGCTTAGTGTAGTAATCCAGCCTGGCTCGAGAAAAGTAGTTGTTGATTACAGTGACACAGTCGTGCTGACCTAAGGAGGAAAAGAGCAGAATGGCTTAAGTGTTAAAGGTATAGTGGAGGGTTTTCGTGAATTTCTGAAAAGCCCTGTCCTCTCCACCTTTAAAAAAAAAAAAAGATGCAAATGCACAACCTGTACCCGATCCCGAGAGCGAACGCCTATTAATCGTGTGCAAAGGCGTTTACGAGCCCATTTCTCCTCGTGCTTTTTAAGTGAAAATGGGGACGAGCACATAGTATGGCCTTACGTAAACATATTACCAGAACGATTGACAATTAGGAGGACCACTTATTATGATGATATGCCTGGAAAAACAAACATTCTCCAGTATACCTTTAATACTGCCAAGGTAAAGCATAAACCAAAGAACAAGATCCTAACTGGGCATAAAAAAGACAAATTTATTGAGAAAAAAAGTTGTAATTCAAGAAAAAAAAAAGGAAATTAAATTGTGTTGTTATCCCGTATTCTATGTTTTTACAATCCAATTATATCAAATAATAGAATAAAAATGTATTATCTTCTGAAATGATTGACTAAAAGCCTTTATTAATGACTAGCATATCTATGTTCCTAATGTTTCAGTCTGTTTTGTTAAAATATCTCTTGGCCTCATATTATAACGACATTGAAATTTTAAACCAGTATATTGACTTTGTTTTCTCTACTCCTCCAAAATCTTCTTTAAGATTTTGTACGTTTCAGAAAAAGGAAAGGAGAAGAAATCGCATCGCAACATACCAACGAAAGCTGCCATCTGAGCGGCAGTCCGTCCAACAGAGTTGGTCACATCTGTTTCTGCCCCGGCATCCAACATCATCCAGGTGATGTCAGTCTTTCCTATAAACAAAATTTTAAAAAATTGGTTTAACTTTCAAATACGATATATTTTGTCTTAGCATATATAGGAAATTAAACTTATACATGTACATATTTAATGTTTTAACAAAAAAAGATAGATGTGGTTGAATGCTGCCATATGCATGGTATTAAGGCTGATTTATACTTCAAAACCAGGTCGTCACTCGCCTGACAGTCCAGCAAACATGAGTGCCGTGTAGCCATGTTCATGTTCATTACAGTTTACGTCAGCTCCATGTTGGAGAAGCAACTTGCACATGTCTGCCTTCCCTTTATAGGCAGCGTGCATGAGAGGTGTCATCCCATACTGCGGATTAGACAAAAACAAATCTGGGATTAATGATCAAACTAATGATTACAAAATATTCTATTCCATGACAAATTCTACATGATATATTTTTAGCAATGTACAGCGTTATGACTGTTCAGTATACAAACTTCAATTTAAGGCAAGGAGCAAATTAATTCTACATTGATAACCACTGTTTTCTAAATAGTTTAAAGAATAGTTACAATAAAGATATGTTAAGATGACATGATTAGACCATCAAGAGTTGAAAAATGCAGCAAAAAGCTTTTTCTTTAAGCAAAATAATTCAATTCAAACTCATTTTTGAAGGGAAAGAAAAACTGTCAAGCTCATCATATTGACAGTAATACGAGACATTTGTTTTTCTTTTTTTTTCTTTTTTATAATTATACCCATGATATCCAAAATAGCATTATAAAAGTTTTTATATAGTATACAATCAATGTACATGTGCTTGTTTTTTTTCTTTACATGCTTTACTGTTCATTTTACAACCATTTCTATGAAAGCCTGCTTCAAAATAAGGTGTTTATAACTATATATGTATTTCATAATTATATTGCTGAGTAAAATTTCGACAACAGGTTTTTATTAATTACTGAAAGTACACCCATCTTAAGAACTTTAATCAGTTTATAACCCTGATCCGAAGATGTCTACAGAGAAAAATGGCCTAAAAGACATAAGCTTTGAAATAATAATCAATCAGGGTGAAAGAAGTATTATTAGAAAGTTTTTTTTTATCCTTAACAATACATTTGGTTTAAAAAATGTCAGGTTTCTGAAAGTTACACAACACATGATCATCAGATATATGCTCTGACTTTTATATAAGTGTTTTATTTCTATTTATTTTACAACTAAACATATGGTTTACAGTTGTTCTTTTTCCTTCACTTGTCCACATTAAATTACAACTATGAACCACATATTAAACACTGACTCACTTAACAAATAGCTATTAATATGATTTTTTTTTTTCAAGAAAATAGTCTTAATGCAACACCATTTAAAATTCTATTAAACTGGCTAAGTGAAAATGTAATTACAAATAATTATGAACCTCATTGGCCTGTTTATTTCTGTAAATACCTCATCCAGGCAGTTAACTCGAACATCCTTACAGCCTAGCAGCCTGGAGGCTTCCTGAACATTACCTAAAAAGGAGAAAAGCTCTTTTATTACTGTTATTTTACTACATTGGTAGTTCTTCAGATCTTAGTTTCACCAGAGCAGACAAAACAACTTCACAAACCTATTTAATAACAGCTACACCTAAAATGCCATGTTCTAAGTTACTCATCTTTCAAGTTAGTATCATTGAGAAGGTGGGAAAAATGCATTCATTCATTTTTATTCAGCAGAGATTATTGTTAGACCACAGTTTGGAGACATGTGCTTTCACAGTGGTTAAACTGGGAAGCCGTGGAGAAGCATAACGTCTGTATCTGTGTCCTACAAGCTAACAGACAGGGATTAGCATTAGCCGAGGAGGCTTACCTGCAGAAATAACTTGAAACAATTCCTTTTCGCTCGGGGACAAGTCTCCTTTCTTTGGGGTGGACATGGTGATACTTAATAGATTTAAATAAATTTGAAGTTGCACCAATATATCAAAAAAGCTTTCACTTAAATAACGCAGTTCTTATCCCTGATAGTGTGATGCTGCTACTTGAGCTAGCTGTCAAACGGAATGTACCACTTGGAATAAGGGGTGGAAAAGGGCAGGACAGAACACTTAAAGAACTAACTTTATTTTCAAAGAACTTTTCTTTTTTCAATCATATACTTTATAAACAATAATAGAATACAAGATAAATCTTATATATAATATTTTGCTTTACAACAAATAAAACATTCTACACAATATCCCCCCGTGTAGATGGTAAAAATACTTAGATCCACGAGAGTCTAGAAAGTTCATTCATAACAAAAACGCTTCAAAGGCGGTCATGTTATAATACTTTGATGTCTAATCAGCGAAATTATAATACTTTAAGATGGTCATATCAGTTAGTTTAGCTATGACCTCTTTTATATTAATCAGTTTTAATTGATTGTAGAGTGGGTTCACTTGCGCTCTAACTTCTACCGTAATAAAAGCTTATACGCAACATTATTTCCTCATTCAACAGCGCTAAAATCGGGACGTTTCCAGAGAACGGCTTGATGAGGACATTAGTTATTCTGTAGACAAGGCCTCGGGGTTTTTTTTATTTTTTTTTTAAGTATTATTATTATTGTTTAATTATATTAAACTTATTATATCGTTCTTATTCACAACACATGTCATCTGAAGGCATTTTACAGAGACAATTCAAACAGATCATACAATCAAATCGACTCATTGACTAGAAGGCAAACCCTCACACCAAGCATACTTGTAGCAACAGTGGAGAGAAACAGGAAGAAACCTCCAGCAGAACCAGGCTCAGTATGAGCGGCCATCTGCTGAGGCCGACTGGGGTTCAAGGAGACAGAAGCAAACATACAGAAAGAAGCAGAGGTACAAAAGGCAACGTTCCAGCTCCAAGGGCGGCCCCGTCCAGAAAACACACAGCCAGGCAGATGAGCACTGAGCTAGCTCCCATGTCAAAGGATGAAGGAGAGCACATACAGTTAGTCGCAGTCAGAGAAACAGGACTGTTACTGAAAAACAGGCCAAGCTCCAACATCTTTAAAAACAAAGGTGTTGATGGAAGCAGCACAGCTGATGTTTCTCCCCAGGATGGACTCACAGCCAAACGAGAACAGACCAGATGAAGCTACTATAAGAAAAAGCAGAGAGAGCAGAACGTTAGAGATTGAGCTAACAAATTCTGCAGAGTGGGAGAATAGAGATATAATAAAGCAGAATGATGAAATGGGGGTCCCTATGTCCTCCAACAGTCTAAGTGTATAGCTATATAACTATAGAGATAGCTTTGGATAACCTGAGCCACTCAAAATATAAGCTTTATCAAAAACCCCTAGCAAAGCTGCAGACTGAGAGTGAAGTGCTCTGTTAGAAACATAAGGAACAATTTTATCTCTGATATAAGATGGAGCTTGGCCATTTAAGGCTTTATATGTGAGAAGGAGGATTTTAAATTCTATTCTGGATTTAACAGTAAGCCAATGAAGAGAAGGATAAGAGAGATATTATCTCTCTTTTTAATTTTCATCACAACTTTGGTTGCAGCATTTTGGATCAGCTGAAGGCTTTTAACTGTAGTTTGTGGACTTCCTGATAGTAAAGAATTACAATACTCCAGCCTTGCGTCAACTGGATTTATAGACAGATATAGCTGAGTATCATCAGCATAACAGTGGAAGTTAATCCCATGCTGTCTAATAATTCTACCCATTGGGAGCATATATATAGTAAAGAGAAATGGTCCTACTGATCCCTGTGGTACTCACAGGTAACCCTGGAGCATGAGGAAGATTTATCATTAATGTGAACAAACTGAAATCAGTCAGTCATATACAATTTAAACTAGTCTAGTGCTGTTCCTTAACTCTTTCTAAAATAATATTATGATCAACTGTATCAAATGCAGCACTGAGATCTAACAGGACAAGTACAGATACAAGTCAATTTTTTAAGGCCATGAGAATATCATTAGTGACTTTCACCAGATCGGTTTCAGTGCTATGATGAGCTCTAAAGCCAGATTGCAGATAACGCCTTGCCTCCAAAAAATGTTTATCTTTAATCAATCTAAATCCATGTTAATTGTTTTTCAACATATTCAAGTGTTCAACATCCAAGGCTTTCTTTTTTTAATCCTCATTTTTGCAAATTACAAGCAGGTTTCCATCTCTCAATTCCTTGACTATTTTGACTTCCCTAATTTTCTTTTTTATTTCTCTCGAAATCGAAATGGGGCTCAAATGACTGTTTTTCTTCAGGACTGAATCTAAATATTTTTATCCTTTCTCTGACAACCTTCTTTCACACAACTCTTTCTTCATCTGAACTGCTTTCTTCTAATTCCTGTGTATTTCCTCAATTCTCAAACCACCTTCCCCCCTCCTGTATCCCTCATTTTCCCCTTTGAAACGGTTGTCCAGTCTTTCCTCATCTGCCTGACTTGCCATGTTATTCCATCCACCAACCCGTCGGGCAAAAAACATTTTTCACACACAACTGACAGTCGGTATAGCTAGCTTCTGTCAGCTGGAGCCTTACCTCATATGTAGAGCAAAAAGATAAAAACATTGTCCTGTATGTGCTGAGAAAAAATACCCGGATTTTAAATTCCTTCATTCAAAATTAGTAAAAATGAATGCCACATATCAGACCATTTAACTAACCATGATGTTAGAAAACCATAGATCTCCACTACATCATTTACGTCGAACTTGGATTTGGCATTCTAATTTATCAGTACAGCTTCCATGCTGTTTTACATAAGTAGGAAGGTTGATCAGAATAACAAATCTCCCCATGAAAACTAAGGCTTTCTTAAAGAAACAAAGTGTTTCAAGTAATCGTTTAGCAATGAGTTGAAATGTTAAAGACTAAGCTGAAGTTTATTATACATCTGTATCATTGTAGGACACATTTTTGCAGTAGCAAAAATCCAAAGAATTCACATCAGGTAAGTCCTTCATGTAGGAATTACCTTCTTATCACTTTGTACAATTCCTTTTTTTTAGTATAACTGTATAGTTTACTGTAATTCTTATCTATCTCTGCTGTCCTTTTTGTAGGACAGTTATACTTTCTATGATGGTCATGGAAAGTATTATTACATCGACTCTCCTTGCAGGTCAGTTTTAATCTTATACCTTTCGAAAACAAAATCACAATCATCCAAATTGCTTTTATGTGTTTTTATGCATCAATACGTCTTTTTTGACACAAAGCTGGACGGAGGCACAGAGCTACTGCAGAGAAAACTGCAACGACCTAGCAACCATGACAGATATGAAAGAGATGGATATTAAGGATTTCAACAAGGAGGGAGAACAAAATTATTTTAAATTGGGCTCCTCAATATCTGAAAGTAACTGTGTAATTTACGAAAACAGACACCTGAATATGTCGACTTGTATGTTCAATAAGTATTCAGTGTGTTTTGAAGGTAATTCTTTTTAATTTTAGTCTTTGACAATTAGAAATATTAATGTTCCTGTCATAAATGTCATTTTCATTAATAAACCTTTTTGTATTAGTCTGCCATTTTTCTTCTAAAGTTCTACTGTTTCAAACAGCCGTACCACAACTCCTCTCAACTCTGGGGGTTGAGTAATTTTTTTTGCAGGAATCACTATAGTTCCCTGTGGGTTCATGAATTGAGGGTGTTTTCTGTTGTGAATGGTTTGCACACTAATCTAGGTTCACATAGAGTGACCAGATATCCCTATATGTGTGGGACAGTGCCACATTTTTCACTTTTTTCCCGCTGTTCATCAATTTGAAATGTCCTGCATTTGACCGGGTCAAAATAGAAAGGGAGAAATCTAGATATTTATAGGACCTTTTTTTCTAAATGCAAAGAAAGCAAAGCTGCAGTTATTGTCACAGAGCTGCACCATTGTCATTTCAAGACCAAACTGTGCAAGATGCTCTTAAAACAGAACAAGTAAAGGATTTTATTATAAAATATGATGGAATCTACATTCATAGAAAACAAAACACGAGCACAACAAAGATTGATGAAGAGGTCACAGCTGGGTGAGGTCAGTGACAAGCGATTCTCAGAGAGCTTTTAGTGAAGTTTGCTGAAGTTATTTTTCACCTTGATACAAAGGCAGTGTTAGGTAAGCAATACTGTAAAAGTGAGTGGAAAGATGCACCTGGCCCACACTAACCTGGTTTACAAGTACAATCCGAGCCCAGAGAACAAGGTAGGATCCAGCTGGTGGGCTGCCAACAAGATGCGACAGGTGCCGCCCAGAGTGTACCAGACGCTGCAGCCCTGGAGGACAAGCAGGAGTCCAAAGACAGGTCAGGCAAACAGATCAGAACCGGAACAGGCAGGGCTCAGTGGTTTAGAGGAAGAACAGGTCAGTATCAGGTTATCAGAAATACTCATATAGCCTTAAAACACTAACCGTAGGCTCAAGGAAAATATACTACTTGATGACTGCCAGCTTGACTAGAGGAAGGAGCAGGTGGATAAGATGAGCAGTAATGTGAAACCGTGCAGAGTTAGACAGGTCAATGAAATGAGTGAAAAATCCAGTTATCAGCACCGAGGTCAGGACATTTAATCAGGTGTAAATTTCAGTGCTGATGTTTCCCATCAAGGTCTGAGCGCCAAACATGTAAATACTATATCAGTAAAACTTTGACTTCCCATCTCTCTTTGTGTTTTTTTCAGATTCAAATGAAACCTAGGCGAAAATTAAACTGAATCACTTACCAATCCAATCAGAGGCTCATCCGTCTTTGAAGCAATCCTGTCAGCATTGGACCACACCTCCACAAAGTTCAATCAGCATTCAGAGTCCAGTTTAAAAGACATTCAAAAGCAAAACCCAGCTGCTACTCGAAAAAGAATCTACTCAGTTGGCTTGCACTGTGTGACTTTGACTCAGGTGAACTTGATTCAACCCTCCTTCATCCCCTTCTCCCCAAACTCCATCTGATGAGTCCTCTGGTCTTTACTGCATTCAGGAGGCCTCCTCAGCCTGTCTGGCTGAAGAGCGCCATGAAGAGCCTGGTTCTGTCAGAGATTTCTTCCCAAGCAGAGTTTTTTTCTCTTCACCGTCGCTTCATTCTCACTTATCAAAGAGGTTCATATGAACATGGGCCTTATTCCAGTTGGCATCCATCTTTATTCTTTCCACCAGTTTGAGGCCTGGGGAGGCCTAAAGTTACCTTAGAGATAATTGTATGTACTGAAATAATGAAACAAATGTCTTATTATTTGAAATGTGAAATAAAATCTTAGTGACACTGTTGCTGATTAAAAGGTAAAAATAATAACATAACAGAAAAACCCTAAAGATTAATGATTTCACTAAACCAATTCAATAAACAACCACCTGTTCAGAGAGGATAACAAACAGTTAAGGTTAAACGTGACACTCATGTTGTCATAGCTATGAATGTGTCTTTGGTCATGCTTCCTATAGATTTCCATAATTTGCATCTGATGGAGAAGTTTTCCTGTGTTTTACATACAGAGGAAGACAAATAGTAAAATGTGACACAGCTGACATAAACCCTCCATATCAACTCTTTCCTCCAAGATACAAACGTTTAAAGCTACACACATCTGCATTTAGCTAAATTACGAGCAGAAAATCATCAAGATTAAGACATTAAATTATTCTTCCTGGAAACAAAACAAAAAAACTTGGTATGTTTTTGAATGTGAAAAACAAAATCTCATTAAAATGTACAACTTTGTGATGCTTAAGATGTCTTAAACAACTCTGACCTCAAATCCTGACCTAATGAAAATATTCAACTTTCTATATGTCCTGTAATTTTACGGACATTACTGCTGCCATGGGTGTCTTATCTCTAGTTCTATTTACAGGTCAGATATATTACATATACAGTGAGGAAAATAAGTATTTGAACAGCCTCCTATTTTGCAAGTTCTCCCACTTAGATATCATGGAGGGGTCTGTATGTCCACTATGAGGGACATAATGTATAAAAAACAAATAAATCCTAATATATGATTTTTTCTTTAACTATTTACTAGTATGATACAGCTGCAAATAAGTATTTTGCAAATATGTTTCCTTAGATAGAAAACTTTGAATCAATCTTACTGTATGATCTGATTGAATTGTCTCTGTAAAGTGCCTTCGGATGATATGTGTTGTGAATTGGCGCTGTATAAATAAGCTGAAGTGAATTGAATGCTATAACACATTTCACAAGGTTATACTATATTAAAAGTATTAATCTATTTTCTTTCTTTTTTAATCATTAGAAAATAAGATTTATAAAATCACCTAATGATAATAAGCTATTCAGCAAGAGGAAGAATGATAATTGCTGGTGAAGATTCTCAGTCATCCAGGTCGTAGTCATTTCAAAAAAGTGAAAAAAAACAAAACAAAAACAAAGCACTGGACTTTGTTTTTTAAGTTTGAATTTGTTTTGCTTCCCATGCAGGAAGCTTTTTCAATTCAAAATGTCTGAATTAGCGCTGGGTTCCAAGCTTTATAGAGAATCCCAACAAAGCCTTGTTATGGCTTAAAAAACATGCAAATTGAACCGGAAGAACAGGTCCGCCCTTTAGTAATGAGGAGTCGTTGAGGTCTTTTTTAGCCTGCAATACCTGATACTGGTCTATGTCTCTGAAAAGGGGATTAATTAGGGGAATTGCTGACCTGACTGACCAGGCAGGATGTCTTTTTTTTTTTTTTTTACTTTTTTAGAAGAATGATAATTGTAAGCTCACATTATTAAAACACCTTCTTAAGTGGGGAAGATAATAATTTTCAGAAAGACACTTTATTGTTTAAATTGGAGAGAAACCTTTAAGATTTACCATCTTAAGGTTCTTTCTGCTTACTGTGCTAAAAAAATTCCCCATTTCTTTTCTTTGCAAAATACGAACCCTTGAGGCCATCTCTTTTGGTACAAACAACACTGCACTGGGTCCTCTGCTGGTGACCACAGATTCAAAGAACATCTGAATATGACAGATTACCTTATTCACCTAAAATATTTGAAACCCAAATTGTAGACAGACAAGGTTGCTTAGCTAATGGAAAAAAACTCCTTAACTCTTCCTTGTACTAAACTGCAGTCTGTGTCAAAAATTAAGATGAAGTATTTCCAACTTGTTATTTTTTTTCAAATGATCTCTAATGTGCAAACTGAAGAGCAAAAAAAACTATAACTTTCTGTGTTTATTCCATCTTTATTTCTTTCACACTTTTAAGAGTCACACATCAAACAAAGAAAAATACAACGTTTCTCATCATCATAATGCATTGTGATGTCTGCCTTGGTTTATAATATACGCTGCACTAAGGAATTCATTATTATGCTAAATCACTAGTTAGTAGCCCCTCATCAGATGTATTTGCAGAACTATACATCTACTTTCACACATACATGATACACAATGCAAAATAGCATCCCCCTTTCTTTCCTTTTGCTACATTTCAGCTTTCCCATTATTTCATTGTTTGGCCACTTATTTCTTAACCTTGTGAACAATTTGCAAAAGGGAAGATGCTATGTAATCAGTTTAACAGCAATGACAAAAACACTCAAAGCTATTTTTAATAATTTTAAGAAAGAAAAAAGAGAC